GGCAATTGAGAAAAAGTTAGCATATAAGAGGTTTTTACAGTTCAGAAGTGATGTACTGAAGAAAAATACAAATTAAAAGAGTGGTGGGGGAGTGCAAAAGGAGAGAGAATGGATGAGGATTTATCATCAAATTTTTGCCGAGAAAAAATCTTGGAGCAAGATTAATAAGTTGAGAATGCCTGGGACACAAATGGATATAGCAGTCAAGTGAAAATGTTAAATAGGAAGGTGAATGGAGGATCGAGAGAATGTTCTAAGAAACAATTAAATGTTTCATAAAGATGGGAAATCAGTGAGTTCATGCATTGGGAAAGGAGATGTAACATCTTGAAGGAGTTGAGGAAGAGCAAGATGCGAGTATGGGGAAGAAGTGCATGAGGCAGAGTGTAAAATGAATAGGAGGTAAAGCAACTGGGGCAAACTAGATAAAAAATGTTAAAAGCAAGTGGGGATATAGTTTTGGAGTGGCTCGAATATTTGTTTAATACATCCATGACTAATGAATTGGAGGGTACCTAGTGATTGACAGAACACGCACAGTTCCTTTTTCATATTTGAAAAGAGGACAGAAGAGTGTAAGAATTATTTGGGAATAAGCCTATTAAGTATAAGAGTAAAGTGTATAATAGATTTATTGAAAGAAGGGTAAGACAGAAAGTAGGATTGCAAAGGAACAAGAAGAATTGAGGAAGGGTAGGGGATGTGTATAACAGGTGTTTACATATATACACATACGAAGCTTTACTTAAATATTATTGTACAAAACATACAATAATCTGAAGGCTCAATGAAGCATACAAGTTTTTTGTTGCATTCATGTATTTTTTTTTTTTTGCATTCATTTAGAAAATCCATATAATAGGGTGGATAGGGGAGCAATGTGGCAGGTGTTGCAAATGTATGGAGTAGATACTAGGTTACTAAAAGCATTATATATTTTATGCAAACAGTGATGATTTGGTTAAGGTATGTATAAAAGAGGAGAATTATTTTCCAGTAAATTTAGACCTTACACAGGAATATGTATCACTATGGATTTTAAATATTTATAGATGGGGTTATAAGAGAAGTGAATTTTAGGGTATTGGGAAAAGGTGGGATTAAAAGATAAATCTAATACAAAACAGGATTTGTCAAAATTATTCTTTGCCAATGACAAGATTCTTTGGGAGATTTTGAAGAAAAGTTGCAAAGGTTCGTGGAGGAATTTAGGAGTATGTAAAAGAAGGAAATTATAAGTGAACTTAGGAAGAGCAAGGTAAGGTTGAGTAACAAATAAATCTTGGTAATGAAAGCTTGAATATCAGACTGAAGGAAGTATGAAGTAAATGTGCTCATATATCTGGGACTGGACCTGTCGGTGGATGGTTCGATGTAAGATGAGGTGAACCACAGAATGAACGAGGGGGAAAAAGGCGAGTGGTACTTTGAGGCATCTGTGGAGACAGCTTTACCCACGGAGGCCTAAAATGGGTTATTTTTATAATTAGGGGGAGCGCTAAACCCACGGGGGTCATACAGTACCTGGGTAATGGGAGGCAATCATGTTCGATCCCAGGAAAAGGAAACAAGTCTAATTCTTGGGAACAAGAGCCCCTCACCAGCATCAGGGACAATTTGAGGATAAACAGGGGATGTACCAGAGTAATTTTATGCATATACATTTTTGCTAGTATAAATGCTTTTATATTTTGCAATATTGTTAGTTTTATGTATACTTTATATTTTAAAAACAGATGACAGCTTAAAAATAGCATTTAAATATTTGATACAGACCGGATGCTTTGTTTGGTAATTGTTCTTAATTGTTTTAGCACTGATGATGAAGTCTGATAATCCATAGGATGGTTTCATTTTTTATTATTAACGCCCTTTTGAAATAATATTTACATAAATTCGGATTTTTGCTTCAAAATTCTTTGGATGGGGCATTATGATTGCTTTCGTATGTATTTTTAAGACCTGTTGACTATGATATAATGTCACACACTACCTGCACATTAACATGAGGGTTAAAATGAGAACTGTTCTTGGTAATTATAATATCCGAAACTTGGTGCATTGTGGAGATCAGGAAGTGTTGCTTAAGGAAATTTATGGTTAAGTTCATTAGCATGTTAAGATTGACGTACCTTACGGTGCTTGTCCCAGGAACCAGCCAACACTAGTATCCTGCCACCAAACTCACTTAAATACTCATTTTACAACTCACTGCACTTCAATACAGTCACTTAAATGGCACTTCACTCGTCACTTGCACTTTAAAAGAAGACAAGAGCCGCCTAAAACAAAGAGTAGAAGAGGTAGAGAGAAAGAGAGAGAGTGATAAGAGTGAGCAGCATTGAAGTTTCCAGTGTGTTGGCTGCTCTGTTCTCCACCTCCCTCACTCTACACTTCTTATTTTAGCGATGCATTACTTCATCTCATCCTTCCTCTTCATAGTAATTCCTTCAATACAAATAAGATTATATTAAATGTGATCGTCCCTTGCAATTTCCTAGTACATTGCATTTAAAGAATTTTTAGTGATTTAGTTATGCACTGATTTACAATGAAACGCGAAAATATTTGTAACTAGAAACATATATGAACCAATCACTGTTCTGAATGTCTGTGACGTTTTATCCAAGCCAATGAGAATTTTCTATGAATATGACAACTTGTAAGGTCATTTACAATAACCAATGACAGTTCAGTTAATATGTAATGTTTCCAACAATGACCAATGGCAATTTGTCTTTATATATGACGACAAGTAACGTCACAAAGAGAGACCAATCAGTGAAGTAAGAATGTGTGATGTCAGAGTTTGTCGACCTGGAGGTGAGGGTTGCTTGCTTGTGTAGTCTTGCACCTGTCATGGCAGTATTAAAGGAGTGTTGTGCTCTGCCATTACTAGTACATTAAAGTTTTCTTTCATCTGTTATTTTAATGTGCTGCTTAGCACACGTTGTACGCTGAGTGTAATACACAGACGGGTAAGGAACTAATGGTTACTTGAAGAATAATTACTACAGTTTAATAAGAACTGCTGACGATGTAATGTATCACGAGCGACTCCCATCCACACTTCCTTCAAGGTGAAGGGCTCTTGAATAAGGGAATTGGAGCTACCCATTATTTTCTATCAATGCAGATTGCCTTCCATTCTGTATGCGCTTCATGACCCCAACGGGCTTATTGCTTCCTTATAAATATAATCCTATCCACACTACTCGGAAGCAACTTACGCTGGGCCTTGGTGAGGCCTTTCATCTTGGGAGCTCTAATTTTAGTGTATTTTCTTAAAATGCCCTCCATGAAAGTGTATTGCAAGAATATATCTGGTAACTGAACATTTCTTGCAAGCATAGCTGTATAGTCCTTGTGGCTTAGCGCTTCTTTTTGATTATAATAATAATCTTGCAAGCATACACCTTTATTTTTAAAGACAAGGTTTGACCCACGGAAATTTAGTCAGTACCCAAGACATGATTAGAATTTGTGAATGTGAAATAAGTCAGTCTGACTTTTTTGGGTTATCCTAGGTTCTCTACACATGCTGCTACGTATGACAATCTGTGTAACCAAGTTTATTCAGGTATACACAAATAGTTACATAGGTTATCATACATAGCAGCATATGTGTAGAGAACCTAGAATAACCTAAAAAAGTCAGTGACTTATTTCCATTGGGGTCCTTTTAATTATCTCCTCTATAGTATAATATCTTATTATACTATAAAGGAGATATACTAGGAATAAGGTAAAATGAGTTATTTATATTTACATGTGTGTTGGCTAAAAAAAAAATAATTCTCCCTTTCTGCCTCTACATTAATTAGGCACCTTTTGGTTTTCTTCTTGACCTGATTCATGCTATGACATGTGAAGGCAAACTGTTCCATTCCCTTACTGCTGTACAATTAAAGGTGTTTGAAACCTGGCCACTGACTGTGGGCACTACAAAGTTGTGCTCTCTCCCCCTATTACAATGATTACTCTGGTTCCCAACCTTGACAAAATTGGCAGATATTCTGAACACTGTGAGCAATTTTATAAACTTTATTTAACTTCAGTTGTTTTACCCTGTCTTCAACATTCAGCATATCCAATTGTTGTAATTCATTCTGGCCTACATGTTCTCTTGATCCCAGGTCCAGGATGAACCTTACCATTATGTTCTGGGTGATTAGCAGTCGTTCAGATGTGCTGTCAAGGCAGAGTACCATGAAGAACAGGTGTAGTCCATAAGACATTGTATAATGTCCTGCTAGGCTCAGTTTGGTAGACACTGCTTGTCTGTACAGGAACTAAAATATGGCATTTACTTTCTTTAGTACACTGTCCCCCATCAATTCTCCTGCCATGCATATGTCATGGGGGATTCCCAGATAATTTGCTGAGGAAACTGAAGTGATGGGTTCCCCATTACAACGGACATTAAAATTATTTACCCTTCTCAGTTTGTCTTTGTGTATACCTGAGTGAACTTATTAATAACCCCTTATTAATGACCCCAATGGAAATAAGTCACTCTGACTTTTTTGGGTTATCCTAGGTTCTCTACACATATGCTGCTATGTATGATAATATATGTAACTATTTGTGTATACCTGAATAAACTTACTTATTCCAAGGGATCCATCATAGAAGGTTCCTTGAAACCAGCCTGAATGCCTTCCATCCCCGAGGCCCTGTATGACCCCTATGGTTTTAGTGCTTCCCCGTGAATAATAATGATGTGTCCACCCATTTGACCATAAACAGAAATATTAATCTCAATCTTAAAATAATGAATCCTAACTAGTCATAAGTTGGCCTGTGATACTCCAATACTGAAACTATGTACTGTGCCAAAACAAAAGCATTCACATTGCTAAACTCACAAACTAGTATTTAGTCACTTAACCATAATACCAACTTGCCTCATAATTTGTAATATTTTAAAATTAAGAATTGAACTAAGTTTGCCCGAAATGCCTAGCCATGCTAGGCGTTCTGGTGGTACACTCTGTAATTATTATTTTACTACATGTAAACCTACATGTAGGCCTGGGTCCAACAGGAGTAAGGTTTTCTGTGCTGGAATTGGTGGAATGTGGACATCTTTTTCTAATGACATGAACTTCAGTGACGAATTTTATTTTATTTACCCTGAGAAGAGTAAGTAAAACAGAATTAATTATTGTTGAGTAGGATCATGGTGGGTGTGTGGGCGTCTGGTTAGACTCCAGTAGAAATAAGTCACTGTCAGACTTGTTTTTGGGTTATCCTGGGTAATTTATTTTATGCATGACAATTGTACTTTTGTACCTGTACCTAAATAACATCTTATCTCCCTGATACACCCCGTCAACTAACTACACGAATACCACCTGGTGGTTCACACTTACACTCATTCATTTGACCATAAACAGAAATGTTAATCTCAATCTTAAAATAATGAATCCTGTGATACTCCAATACTGAAACTATGTACTGTGCCAAAACAAAAGCTCACAAACTAGTATTTAGTCACTTAGCCATAATACCAACTTACCTCATAATTTGTAATATTTTACAATTAAGAATAAAACTAAGTCTGCCCGAAATGCCTAGCCATGCTAGGTGTTCTAGTGGTACACTCTGTAATCACTATTTTACTACATGTAAACCACACAATAACCAAATTCCTGTAAACTCAGCATTGTAATCCTTATAGAGAATAAACTTTGAATTTGAATTGAATTTGAAACTAACAAGTCATTCTACAAGTCAACTCTTGTCATCTGGGGGGAAAATTCAATTCAATTCAATTCAATTCAATTCAAAGTTTATTCTCTATAAGGATTATAATGCTGAGTTTACAGAAATTTGGTTATCAAACTGCACCATATCCTGAAGTGTTAAATACAGGTACTCGTGGCTAAGTTGGTAACTTCCTTTGCTCTCAGTGAGGGACGACTAGAGATAGCTTCCTGCATGGGTGAAATATTGAGCATGTTAAACTATGGATGGCATCCTGGGGGAGAAGCGTTAAGGACTTAGTGAAAATAATAATACATATATCTATTTCTACAAGTAAATGTACAAGGTATAAAGGCCTAGCTAACATCAGTGACATACTACTGTATAGAATGCCCCTTGTTATGCAGAGTATTTGGAGCAAATTAGGTCAGTTATGTCCCCAGGATGCAACTCGCACCAGTCAATCGCCCAGGTACTTATTATACTGATAGGCGAACATAGACACCGGGTGTCTTAAGGAAATATTAATATTATATCTTTATTTCTACAAGTACATGTACAAGATGTACAGGCCTAGCAGACATCAATGACATACTATTATATAGAAAGCTGCTTGTTATGCAGGGCATTCTGGGCAAATTAGGTAAAGTTTGCCCCAGGATGCGACCCACATCAGTCGACTAACACCGAAGTTTCGATTTTCACTGATGGGTGAACATGGACAACCAGTGTAAGGAAACATGCCCAATGTTTTCACCCTCGCCGGGAATCGAACCCGGATGCTCAGTGTCTGAAGCAAGAGTTTTTGCCTCCAGGCCACGGGCCACCGTCCTTATGTTTGTAGCTGTACTGGGGATCGACCCCCCAGACCTTAGTGTGCAAACTGAGTGCACTAGCAATCAAGGTACATGACACCAATGATGCACAGACTTTATTGGAGCCCAATGGAAATAAGTGGTGACCTGGTGGCAAGGGCTCTCGCTTCACACAGCGAGGGTCTGGGTTCGATTCTTGGCGAAGGGATGGAAACATTGGACATGTTTCCTTACACTGGTTGTCTATGTTCACCCATCAGTAAAATGGGTACCTGGGTGTTAGTCAACTAGTGTGGGTTGCATACTGGGACAAAACTGACCTAATTTGCCCGAAATGCTCTGCATAACAAAGGGGTTTCTATATAGTAGTGTCACTGATGTCAGCTAGGCCTGTATACCTTGTACATGTACTTGTAGTAAATAAAGATACTATTATAAAGTCTAAATTTTTGGGTTATCCTAGATAATTTACACTATGTATGATAATTGTATTTATGTACCAGTGCCTAAATAAAATTAATTAATCCTGGAGGGTCTAACCACCTTGCTTAAAAATTCAAAATATAATTTGTTATATTAATGTTTTGTTTGATATTTGCAAGCTATGCTGACATGATGCCACGTAGTAATTGTCAAACTCTAGTCGGTTTATTTCAGCATGATTCAGTGTTTATATAGAAATAGGTAACACTTTAATGCATGCAGAATGCCTGTGGTTATGCAGAGCATTTCAGTCAAGCCTAAGCCTAACTTAAGACTACAAGGGCAATGCACATTACATATATATGTATTTTTTTTTATTATTATTAATGCATCGGCAATTTCCCACCAAGGTAGTGTTGCCCAAAAAAGAAAAACTTTCATTATCATTCACTCCCTCACTGTCTTGCCAGAGGCATGCCTACACTACGGTTATGTATAAAACTACAACATTAACACCCCTCCTTCAAAGTGCAGAGACTGTATTTCCCGGCTACAGGACTCGAGTCCAGCCTGCCAGTTTCCCTGAATCCCTTCATAAATGTTACCTTGCTTACACTCCAACAGCACGTCAAGTCCTAGAAACCATTTATCTCCATCTGCTCCTGTCTAACACGTTCACGCATGCTTGCTGGAAGTCCAAGCCCCTCTCACACACAACCACCTTTACCCCCTCCCTCCAACCTTTCCTAGGCCAACCCCTACCCTGCCTTCCCTCCATTACAAATTTGTATACTCCTATTTTGTTCCAGCCTCTACATGTCCAAACCATCTCGATAACCCCTCCTCCTAATCTCCAAACTACGGATTCTCTGCATTATATTCACACCACACATTGCCCTCAGACATGACATCATCACTGCCTCCATCCTTCTTGTTGCAACATTCACAACCCATGTCTCGCACCCATACGAGAGTGTTGGTATAACTATACTCTCATACATTCCCCTCTTTGCTTTCATGGATAAAGTTCTGTCTCCACAGACTCCTCGGTGCACCACTCGCCTTTTTCCCCTAGTCAATTCTATGATTCGCCTCATCCTTCATAGACCCATCTGCTGACATGTCCACTTCCAAATATCTAAACACATTCACCTCCTCCATACTCTCTCCCTCCAGTCTTCTGTTACCTAATTTTTTTTATCCGCATTACCTTATTCTTTCCTATATTCACTTTTAACTTCCTTCTTTTACATATCCTACCAAACTCATCAACCAACCTCTGCAACTTCTCTTCAGAATCTCCCAAAAGCACAGTGTCGTCAGCAAAAAGCAACTGTGACAACTCCCACTTTGTGTTAGTCTTTATCTTATAACCCCACACCTCTTGCCAACACCCGAGCATTCACTTCTCTTACTACTGTCACTATATGTATACAGATAAATATTTGTATATTGAATTTATTTGTAAGTAGATTAAATATTATTGTACATCATTATAAGAAAAATATTTGGATTAGTCTGGTAAGTGTGCAAGTACATTTTTTACATAGCTAACACTGAGAATTCAAGTTCTTGAATTTAAAGCAGCAAATATTGTCAGTAACAAGTTTTACATTGTTGAAACTTGTAGGGCCCTGAACACAAGGATAGCAAACACACAAGTGTCTGCATGAACAGTACCTGTACTGTGCACTGCAGTACAAAGAACAACCTGATACCCAGTGCCAAACTAGTTGTCAAGGAAGCCTACACGAAATCAACATTACTTACTCTCCTCTGATTGCCAATACTAATGCCATCACATGGAAATTAGGGTCATTCTTAATTTCTGAAACCTTGGCTAAACTTATTTTCACTAGATATAACACTGTTATGGTCCTTGAAGGATCTCGCCTTCAAGGACCATAACATTGTATCAATCGCATCTGCTAGAAAAATGACAGGATGGATAATGAGAACCTTCAAAACTAGGGAGGCCAAGCCCATGATGACACTCTTCAGGTCACTTGTTCTATCTAGGCTGGAATATTGCTGCACACTAACAGCACCTTTCAAGGCAGGTGAAATTGCTGACCTAGAAAATGTACAGAGAACCTTCGCGGCACGCATAACTGAGATAAAACACCTCAATTACTGGGAGCGCTTGAGGTTCCTAAACCTATTCCCTGGAACGCAGGCGGGAGAGATACATGATTATATACACCTGGAAAATCCTAGAGGGACTAGTACTGAACTTGCACGCGAAAATCACTCGCTACGAAAGCAAAAGACTTGGCAAATGATGTAACATCCCAAGTCATTGCCATTTTTATTTTTATTTTTTTTTATTATTATTCTTTTGCTACCTTAACTTGTGTATTTTATCCTGTCAATTTAAATCTAGTTATACTCTAATTCTTGTAAACAACTTATATAAGACCTATGTGCAATTACAATTGAGAGTCTTGTGCCTTTTTTATATTATTAGATTAAACTCAGTTGTACTATAGTCAATACCAAATTCATTATATTAGACCATAGTGCAATTACTAGTGAGAGACTGGTGCTATTTTTAATTTGTATTTTTATATTATTAGATTAAATCTAGTTGTACTATAGCTCATTCTAGCTCAAAACATAGACTCCACAAAAGTCATTATATTAGACCTTAGTGCAATTACAAGTGAGAGTCTTGTTCTATTTTAAATTTTTATTTTTATTTTACTAGTTTATACCTAGTTGTACTTTAGTTCATTCCAGCACAACACATAGACAACATCAACTTCATTATGTGTAGTAGTGACTATACTCTATATGACCAAAATACTCTAGCTATATACTTATCCAAACTTCCCACCACTACAGATATCAGTACTAGAACTCAACACATAGCTCAGGATATAAATAACCATAATTTAAACCTAGAAGATGATTGATCACGTTGAC